TGGTTGGTCCCCCACTTTTGTCCAGAAATATTTTAACAACTACTGGATGCCATAAAATTTCATAGAGACATTTGTGGTCCCCAGAGAATGATTTTTGAGGTTTTTGAGGTCTGCCAGCAGGTCAAAGTTTGTACTTTCTCAGTAAAATCTCTCTTTATCTGCTTGATCAACTGGCACAGAATTTTGTACAGTGACTGTTTCTGGATGATATGTCCTAATGGTGAGAGTCTGACGTTTCCTTTAGTATCACTATGAAGTTTACACTTTGAGTTTTGACTGAAATGTCTTGATATGGATTGACTGCCATGGAATTTAGTACAAACATTTGTTATTCAGGGGAACTCCATCAGTCAGGCCTTTACAGTAGAGTGGCTGGATGGAGGCCACTTTGAGTAGATGGCAGATGATAGTCCACTTGGATTTTGTTCGGGGAACATGCTCAAAAAGAGTCTCTGGTCTGCTGAACAAAAAAGGACTATGTCACATGAACACCAGGCACTGCTCATCACCTGGCTAATACCATCCCTACAGTGAAGCATGGTGGGGGCAGCATCATGGGGCGCTTCTCAGAGGGCAAGGCAGGGAGAGGGAGACTGTGGGAAGGATGAATGCAGGCAAAAACAGAGGAGACAAAGAAAATCTGCTTATTTTCTAAAACCTTGATTTCACATTGCTAATGAGGGGGTACTGAATGTTAGCTGATGGGAAAAATGGCAGTTTTATCCATTTCAAATTAAATTTTTGATTTGATTTGATTTGAATTGATTTATTCTTTCAAACATGTAACGACAGTCAATATGTCAACACACATAATTTCACACAAATGCATTATCAATTTGCTTATACCTAGTACATGCTTGAATGGAGTAGGAAGAAGTCAGACTTATCCAGTCCTACCCCATGACATCATCTTACCATCATTGGTTTGCAAGCAGTATCTCTACATAGATAATTCTCTTCTACACCACACAAGTAATATACTAAAAAAATCACATTCTCTCTGTTCCTTCTGGCTCATGCAGCTCATTCTCATCCTCTCTTGGCTTGTCTGTCATCTCCTTGTATTCCTTCCTCAAATTGTGGCCATTCCAATATGTCCTGTAAACATTCTTGCTGTTCTTGTGGGACTTCCAACTGCAAAGAGACAGTTTGTTCAATAGTCTCCTGCAGCTTTTCCTGTAAGGTCATTTCTGGTACCAAATCATTGGAGGCCGGCACTGCTGTTATGGCCTGTGTTTCCTGAGCTGTTTTTTGGTTCTCTCTGGGACCCGTTTTTACAACTTTACTGATACCAGCAACAAGTCCAAAAGCCAGGGTCTGTCATGGCATGGGGTTGTGTCAGTGCCCTTGGCAAAGGTAACTTACACTTCTGTCTTTTAAGTGTTGTGAAAAGGATTGACAACATCACACCATGGTAAATGATTTACTGTCCCAACCTTTCTTTGGAATGTGTTGCAGCATCAGAATTGAACTGAGTATTTATTTTGAACAAAGAATAAAATTTGATTTGATTTGATTTGATTTATTTTTTCAAGCATGTAGAAACAGTTGATATGACAACACACATAATTTTACACATAATCCGATATCAATTTGCTTATACCTAGTACATGCTTGAATGGAGTAGGAAGAAGTCAGACTTATCCAGTCCTACCCCCTGACATCATCTTACCATCATTGGTTTGCAAGCAATAAATGATTCACTTCTACACACTCACCTATTATACTAAAAAGAATATAACAGTATTAACATTCTTACATCACACAAGTGATATACTAAAGAATGGTTACAAAATATACATCACACCCACAACAGTTAATCATTGAGCCTGTTCTTGCATATATCTTGATTGACACATACCTTTATATTTATGTTTAAACTTGTCAATTCTAGTACTGTTTTTTATGTCTACACTTAAGTTATTCCATAGTTTTACCCCACTTATGGAAATACAAAATCTTTTTTTGGTTGTACGTATAGCATGAATTTTTAAATTTAACTGACCCCTTAAATTGTATCCCCCTTCCCTTTCATTAAATAGTTTTTGAATTCCACCAGGTAATAAATTGTTCCTGGCTTTATACATAAACACAGCAGTCTTATATCCCACTAAATCAAAAAATTTTAACAATTTAGACTGTATGAAAGCTACATTGGTGTGATCTTCAACACAAAATGTACAAAAATGAAAGGGTGTGAATAGTTTCTAAAGCCACTGCACAGCGATTGTACTCTCAAACTGGTGGAGTGATCAGGGAAAGCAAAAGAAGTGCAAGATAGAACAGTTTATTTTTACAGTGTAATACAAACTCACTGCTGTTTTGCAGCCCCACTAATCCTGGTTCTGTTTGTGTCTTTTAGGGATCTGTCTCTGAACCATAAAGGAGAGTGGGAATGGAGCTAATGTTCTTGAGAAACAAGCGAGAGTTATCCAAATGAGCTTGAACACAGACAACTTTTTAATGTGCTCTTACTTCACTTGCACACATGCAGATTGCATGGTTTGATTCCAGGCAGAGTTATATGAATTATAAATCAGCTTACTGTAGATCCCATGCAGTCAGGGGAGAAAAACTAAACCCCATCAAGCATAATGCTGTTAAAAGCAAACCTCTCATTCTGCTGGTTCAATCATGTTTTTTCAGATCAAAAACATCTAAAGTCTCCTGAAGCTGAATCGATTAAAAGATCTAGAGCATGGTAGGCACAACATGATGTTTAGCATTTAGTGTAACTGGTGGCACAGTCCAGTTTGTTGATAAATCAAATCCACACAGTACTGCTGCCAGTTCAGCTGAAGTGCTCTGGATCGGCCTGATTACTTTAGGCTGACTGCAGCAGATCAAAGTAATCCTCAAATACTAGAGAAGTATGTACATGGAACAGAGAAGTGCACGACACTGTGTGATGATGTGGGTGCTGTACATTTTGTTAGTGGTTAGGGGAGAGCAGTGAAAGTGCACATCTAAGTGGATGCCTGTCTTTAAAAGCTGCAGCACATGCACAAGTGTGCTCATGGTGGTTTGCTGCAGAAACAGAGCACACTGGGTTTTATAATCAGGATTTAGAGATCACCTTTAGACACTGTCATCAGTCAATCCTGTCCTGAAGCTCATAAAAAGGTAAAGAGGGAGGAGGGGAGAAATGAAAGAAGTGATGTAACCATAAAAATGAGAGAATGAAGAAGACAGACTCTAGGACCGTGATTCCCAACAAGGTTGTATCCCAGTGGGAAATTCTGTACTTGCCAGGGGGTATGTGCAAAGAATATAGAGTAGCTGAAGGCATTTGAAATTATGATCTGATTAAAAATGTACATCTACAAACTGAGTCAGCTGTAACCCTAACTAATTAGAAACTGAGCAAAGAAGTTGTAAAATGTAGTGGCTGAAATAATTAGCTACTATAGGCATTTACAACCAAACTGGAGGAGAATAAAAAAGACATTTACAGTGTTGTTTTTGTCTTGTACAGAAGAGGATAGGGCCACAACACAAACATTTTAAATCTCAGAATTCCGCCTTTATTCTCACAAATATAATTCTTAGAAAAAGGTCAAAATTATGAGGAAATATTTAGAACTACAGATGGAATGATATGACTCTTTTCTCTATATGATATGGTGTGCACAGTTTGATTCAAACTGTACAATTAAAAATTCATTCATTGACAACAATGTATGACTAGCTACGGGAATACTTGGACTTTAATTCCACATGTAAAATTAAATTTTGACATGTGTAATTATTCTGGTGCAAATAATGTTTACAACAGTGTATATATGTGTATGCCCACTTAACATGTCAAATACATCTGTCTGCATTTTTGTGTGTTTGATAACATGTCTGTGTACTTACAACATACAGTGTGTGTGTGTGTGTGTGGAGTATACACAGCATGTGTGCACAGCAGGTCTCATTTCCTGATTCTCTATTTAGATGCTGCTTTCTCTTTTGAGAGCTGAGCCCACAATGACATCAGCTTCCGCCAACATGCCAGTCATCACTATGGCACTACACAAAGACATTTCAGGCCTAGAGGGACTGAGGGGGGCATCATGCTTGACACATTTATAGGCTGCTCCCCCCTTCACTTATATCCTGCTCCTCCTCCTTCTTCTTCTGTTTCTCAATTGCTGTTTGTACAGCCGCCTGCTCTGTTTACCATGGCCTGCTCTTGACTTCCATGGCTGTCATAGTCTGGGTCTATCCTCCTCTCCCTGTGTTTTGGATTCGTAGCCTCTCTCCTGTCTTCTGCTTCCCTCGTCCAGAAACAGCTACTGGTATCCATTAAGTCCACTGGAAATATTTTTTTCCTCAGAGTTCTATTTCAGACTTTCTTCCTCCCTCCCCCTCTTTTGGTCTCTCTTCTTGTCACATGATTCTGAGAGCAAAATGCCTAGTGAAGAAGTGACCACCCACTGGGCTTTGTCTAACTTTTTGCCCCAGCAGACAGAAGGCCTGTGTGTCTGAGTTACACAGAGTGGGGAAAGGAGACGGGAGAGATGAAGTCAGGAAGTGGAGATCAGTTCGCCTGCAAATTATTAAAAAATTTACACTGAATTGTTTCCCTGTCCTGCAGGAAAATGTGACCTAAACATTATGTTGATTAATTTTGACACCATAAATTTTTGTATGAACTTTTCTATACAAACAGATACATTTCTTTTTCCTGAAAAGCATCATAATGGTGTAACTCTCCCACCTGCTGCAGGTTAACATATAAGATGAACAATTATCCACTGAGGGCATTTTATTGTATCCATCAGGGTCCTCAAGCCTTACAAATTCACTGAGCAGCTCCTCTAAATGTGCAGTCACCAGCTACCTACAGTTTTGCTTCAAGGTAAAACATGCCATTTTACTTGGTTTTCACTGTTTATCCTGAGCCTTAGCTTGATTAATTTCTCTGCTGCCTGGCTGGATGTCTGTTTCTATCTTGTGGCCAACATCGGAATCACCCCCCCCCACACACACACACCAGATGATCTCTTGTGCAACAACTGTCACTTTATTGTATCTGAATGTTCATAATATTTAGACATTGTCGGGTAAATGAAATGTAAGTGTAACCAGTTTCATGTTAATGTTGAAATACCTAGATAAACAAAGCACGTGAAAACCATTTCAGTGGCAGTAATGCTGCGGCGAGAGTAGAAAAGATTATTTATCAGTACATTTAAAAAAAGTACTTGATTCTGGCAGTTTTTATTTACAATATTTTGGTTTAGCTGTAGCTATAAGGTGCATATGAAGTTTCAGCAAAGTGTAAAGTTTGTCTCCTTGTCTGTTTTATGTCTGCTCAGGTTGAATGGCTAAGAGTCATATTCATTCAGCCAGTGCAGAAATTGCTGCTTCCTGTATTCACTTCATAAGCACCCAAACTCAGACAATGTCACCAGAACTTTGCCTTGTTGCTCCCTCTCTTCCCAACATGGCACCTCTTCCAGATGACAACCTCGTCCCTTGGGTCCAAAGTGAGGTGGCACTCTTTAAGCCAGTTTGACAGCACCCAGGAAAGTGGAATCTCCAGCCAGGGACACATCGGCTGTGGAACGGGGGATCAGAAGCAGCAAGTGGTCTCCAACCTCCAGCTTCACTATACCTGAGGGATGCAAATATGCATGTCAGACCTTGCCAGACTACAGTAGCATTTTCATTGTTTTTCTTCCACAAACATCTGTCATGCATCTACTGATACATATATGCAATCATCTAATAGCCAGACACAAACACAATCATGCTTAAGAGCTCAACTAAAGAGGAAAACACACTTACTGACCTTCCATAACAGCTGATGCAAGAACAATGACTATAGCTGGATATAATAACAGACGCACCTCCTGTGTAGCAGGTGTTGAATGGGTACTCAGTATCGTGGATGCTCTGGATGCAGCGGAACAGGGATACATGTTGAGACTCGTTTCCCACCACATTCCTCTTTCTCCGGATCACAACGTGACCCATTGCAAAGATTTTTTCCCTGTAGAAAACCTGTGCATATGAGAAATACTGAGTTAAACCTTGGAGGTAAGGTGCAGGCATGGGTTTTAACATAAACAGTCAGAAGAGTGGTATAGCTTTTGCTAATTCACTCATTATGCATTTTCACTTTTTATCTGCCCTTTTCACAATGTCTACTAGCAAACTGCATGATCAGATTGAGCAGTTTTTATGCACACATGTAAAATCTGGCGATTGACAGAGCAGCAGCGCCACTCTGTGGTAAAACAATGAAACGAGAAGCTGACCTACCTGACTGTACACAAAATAGAAGCCCTCCTCTCTGACTAACATGTTATCTTGCTCTACCTCCAGGGCAGAGCCTCTCTTCAGCCCAACCTGCCAGGGGATACCTATGTGTGGCTCCTCGTCATTTCCAAGATCTTATCCCAGAAATAAGAATATTTTAGAAATATATTAGAAAACATGAGAAAGCTAAACATCTACCCAAATCAGTCAGCCTTTTTGTGGGTTGCTTGCTGTTTAGGGTTGATGCAAACATGTTTACATAACTTTCAGTGTGAAACACATTTTGCCTCTGTATAAATGGGTATATTTAACTTGCACACAAAAGCCAATTTGAACAAGTAAAATGTAAATATTTTATGAAACAGAAAAATAGACAAGGCTAGATATACTGTACCAACATGGTAGACTTTTCTTGCACTGTCTGCCAACAGCTGCATACAAGGCTGAGAAACTGTGATGAAACATGAGATATTTAGAAATATTAAAATTAGTCAGTCACTTACGTGTGCGCACTGCTTCTTCTTCCGTTCTGTTTTTGTCTTCTGCTTTTTCCTACTTTCTGTTTTAGACAGCACTAGTACTCAGCCTCAGTGTAAATATTGCTGTTGTATATTGCACAGGAGCTGCTCAACCAGGCACATTCAGTTAACAGCAATGACTCACAGATGGCAGCGTCAGTCTTCCACATAATACTTAACGAGGCTGCTGAGTCATTCGTACTTGGCCGTTAGAGTGTTCTTTTTTACTTTTCAAGTGAAAAGGGCTAGGGCGTGTACAGACTGTAAGGTCCTCTAAGACAAATTTGTCATTTTTAGCTTTATAAATAAATTTGACTTAACAACGGTATAGGAAAGACTTTAATCACATATTTTGCAATAGCAGTAAACTGTCAGAATCAGATGCAGCTCACTGTCTTACTTGATGTCTCTTGTCCAGCCACCAGTCTTCTCTTCCTTATCAGTGTGAAGGCATTTTGAGGCGCAGGTTGGTGGGGGGTCTCTTGACTGTGTCTCCTGTGACTGATATTCGAAGCCTGCGCAGACACAACACAGTCCATAAAAACACAATGCATGTGAAATACATTATCAGAGTTTTGCATTGCTTCCTGCATATATGCATATATGTCCCTGAGAACGAGTTTTCTCTCACCTGGCCTCCATGTTTGGCCTCTTGTTCTCTCCTGCGACACATGTCTGATTTGAGTCCCTCTACCTCAGCTCTGAGAGACATCAGCTGATACAAGCACAAAGCTGAAAAAGAGGATGAGGCAACAGCAGCTAGCATCAGCAGTAAAACTGGCCAGGACAGCCTCCCTTCACCTGTCTTTCGTCCAGTGCCAGGCTCAACACCTGCTAAAACTGCCATCGCAGGACCCTTACTATGTCCAGAGCTCACACTGGCAGCATTACTGGACTGGATGTTTCCGTCTGTCATGAAGCTTTTCCTAGAGCCCCGAGCTTTTTCTTAATTCCTGTTTATGGGTTCCACTGACTTCCTGAACTCTAGATTCTTTCCTCAAGTGGCCGGATCCAGTTTAGTGGGAGGGACTGCGCAGAGCAAGTATAGTACCGAAACAGCTTCCCCTCTATTGTTCCACTCAGTTAACCACACTCACGGCTGCCTGCCCAGACAAATCTCTCTCCCATTTCTTTTTGTTTGGTTCCTTCAAAATGATAAAATGCATCTCAACTTCTCCCCAATAAGGACAGTCCTGGCAGTCAAGATGAGTGTTTGGTAGGGAAACAGAGATAGGTTTCAGATGAAGAGAAAGAGACATTCAATTTAACAGTCACATAAAGAAGGAAGTGCAAAAATTATTTGAATAGCAACATAAACAGCTAAAGAAACTGCAATTCTGAGAATAAATAAAGTGCAGTGGCGCCAAAATCCATGGAACTGTTATATAATGTAAAAAAAAGTTTGACACAAAAAACAAACAAGACAAGCTATTTTAATGTATCAATTTATTGCATGTTACAGTACAGAAAATAGAAAGTGAAAATGTGTGTTTACAAAAGAAGTTGTCAACATTGGAAATAGAAAAGAAACATTCTAAAATGGAAAATCCCTCAAAGTGACTGCGTCATACTCAAGACAAACATGTTCATATACAGTTTCCCACCACTGTAGATGTGCACAGAGCGTGTCAAATTATATCAACACTGTGCAGGTTCACTACAGAAACCTGACACAGTGTAATCACATGCAGGCTTGCAAATGCAATTCAGAAATTCCAGATTATATCACACTTTGAACAGCATTCATTCCACTGTATTCATAAAATATATGATTGACAGTGCATTGGCACCATAGCTGGCAAATGGCTTTCTTTACAAAAAAAAAAAAAAAAAAAATAGACATTCCGTTTGATTCCGTCTTTTCATCAGCTGTAACAATACATCCGACTACCGCAGGATACAAATCTGATGTTCTAATAATCAAGTTTGCCAGCCACCAAAACAATAAATGAAGTGAATGATGACCTACACCTATGACGCCCGACATCTTTTTTTTTTTTGAAAGATGATACTGTATGACGCAGTGCAGAACTGCATAAAACAAAGCGTGTGGAACAAAATAAATGTAAAATTCACATGGTTCGGATTGCACGATATGCACTACCAACATATAAATGGATAAAATGCTTTAAACTGAATCTAACCCAACATATGGATTAAACAAATACAAGAACGTCTGAAACTGTTGAGTGCCACTGGTGGAAAAATGCCACATAAAATGTACATTCATAGCCTTTAGACCATATTTCAAGTTGTTGCCACACTGACAGAAACAAATTTTGTCGTTTGGTGTCTTTTGTTAAGCATACTGTTCACAAACAGTATCCAGTATGGCTGAGGAGATCGGTATAATCAAATGGCTTTGAAACCACTGTAGTGCAGCATGCCGCATTTGGAAAGCAAGAGCAGATAACAGTGTTTTAATCATCAGGCTCTGCTCCACCCCCTGGAAGACATGCGGGAAAGGTTAATTAACTCATTAAAAGCCCTCCAAGTGAGTAAAGCCATTTTGCCATACAAGCACAAGGTGACATGAGAAGCACGAATCCTCGAATTAACAATTATGACGCTGATGATAATAGCTAACAAATAACTACAACATTTAATTAAACAAGCTCACTTCTTTTAGTTCTCAAGAGAGGCTCTGGCTTTTTTCTAACGCTATCTTAATACAGTACTCAAATACCAATATGTGTGTACACTGAAAGGCCAACTGGTCACCGTTATCATTCCTGTCTGTGCTAGGCATTAAGAAATCCTTTCCAACTGTAACAGGTAGAAGAGAAAATCTACATCCGCCTTTCAGTGTAAAAATGTATTCTAAAGTTCAGCCAAAGTTAATATGTATGGAAAACAATGAGGACCACTGGACAAAATTTGAGTTCAGATTTTTTTTTCTTAAAGATTAAAGTCAATTTCCAGTAGCTCTAATCCTCTTCCATATATATGAGGCTTCAGCTCCATGGGTTGGACAAATTCAAGTGTCAATCTTTGACAGTTAAGACTTTGCTTTTACACAAATTTCACTTACGAATTTGTCAAGACCATTTCCTTGTTGATCTGCAGTGGAGGTATGGTAACATAAAGATGGAATTTTCTACTGAGTAGCCAACTTTGGCAAATGCCCACTTGATTTGCCTTACTTGGACTTGGGAAGCCTCACGTGAGCTTCTGCTCAACTTTGGAATACTGTTTTGCATAAAATGATGATTGTGTTATTTTTCTCCCTTGTCTTTTTCAATTGATTTACAAATGTATCACTTCATAATCAGGATTGCAGCCACCATCAACTCCTGCAGAGTACATACAGATACGCATGCTATAGCTGTACTAAGGCAGACTTGAAGAAATCTCAACCCATCCTTTAATAACAACAATCCACACATAAAGACAAGGCTCCTATCTACAGTACAGGAGCTCAAGTTTCTCAACAGCATCTTGAGCCCATTTAAGAGTCAACACTATCCTGTGGGCTAGAACACAGTAACAAACTCTTGCAGCTTTTCAGTCACACTGAAACAGAAGTACTATGACAGAAAGCTCTCAAACTTATTTTCGAAAGGGTAGCAAACATGTCACTTTAACTTACTGACTGCTTCATCTCAGCCAGTGCGTTTGGTGATCGAATATAATTACTCAACAGCACAAGTTTAATATGCTAATGTGGCAGACAAATTTTTCAAGGGTTTACATATAAATATTCTTAACTACAATGTCACGTGCCAAAATGCTGCATGTCCTCAATATTAATGATCCTTGCCAAAAAGGGAGAGGGAAAAAATTAAGCCCTACAAACTATTGATCAGAACATATTAGCCTGTAGTAAATAACTCAACACTTGGGTAAATCTGAAAAAAAAAAAAGGCTAGGTATTAACAAATATATATATACACAGAGACACACAGTATAGGCCTTTTAATTATAAGTGTCTCATTTTGTAAATCAGAAGAAAACATCAATTCCAGTAGTAATAAATTTTCACTGAAATATGGTCCTTATATAGTCAGTAGAGCAACTGTTTTAATTTCAGCAGACCCATTGCAGCAAATTCCTCTGTGATTGTGACATGTATGGATTCATTCATGAAAGGTCATAAATTCATGCATCCATAGCGGCAACGCAAAGGCTCCCATGAGGGCACTGTTACCTCTCTTTTAAAACCTTGAACTAGTTGAATCATTTTAACAAATATATTAAACTTACAGAAAGAGTGAAATAAAATAAAACCTCAGACAAAGCATTAAAAAAAATGTACATTCTTTCCAAAAATCAATTAAGGTTAATTAACCTGTAGACAACAGTCAGTCCTTGACTGATTTTTTTTTTTTTCTTCAGATGATAGTGACCCCAGCTGAGGGCTGAGCACTCTGCTCGTGGGCATGGCTCTTGAGCAGGTCTTTCATGAACTGCTCCAAAGCTGCGAAGTAGCCCTGACACTGCCATGTGTCATTGTGTGTTCCTTCTGGAAAGATAGCCAGACGTTTAGTCCGTGCAGGAGACAACTCATACAGTTGTTTCATCATAATTGGTGGGATGAGCTGGTCTGACAGACCAGACACAAACAGCGAGGGCATGCGGCACAGTGCCACTTGCCGATAGGACAGAAACTGATTCCTATAGCACCACAAGGGCAGCCAGCGTATGGGCAAGAAGGAGAAGAGCGTTGCTGCCATATGGGGAATGCTGAGAAAGGTGTTTTCAACAATAATGGCTGCAACACGGTGAGGGTTGACAGACGCCAAGCGCACTGCCACAGCGCCTCCTAGTGAGCGGCCAAAGAGCACCACCTTTGTCTTGTCCAGATCAGGACGGGTCATGACATAGTCCAGTGTGGCCTCAGCATCCAGGTACAGCCCGCCCTCACTGGGTTCGCCCTCGCTCTTGCCATAGCCACGGTAGTCCACCAACACTACATTGGCTTTCAGATTGACCATCATCAGCAGGGCGTTTGGCACTCTGTGACCAATATTACCAGCGTTACCATGAAAATAAAGGATGGTAGGTGGAGTCGAGCAGGTGGGGCTGCTTTGATTGCCAGCAGCAACTCCAGGAGGGGTATCTCCTCCTGTGTAGCGAAGCAGGATGAGATTGAGCTTCACACCATCCTTGGTGCGGATATACACATTCTCGTGTGGGATTCCTGTTGGCATGGGAACATAGAGGCGAGAGGAGGAGGGCTGGTCAGGGAAGTAGAGGAGCACATCCTGAAATTTGTAGAGGATGCCTGCCACAGAAGCTAGGATGAGAGCGAGGAGTAAAACTCCACCATACAGATGGAAGGTGAGGATGAGGGCCAAAAGGGACACTCGACAGGCACCCCAGGACCAGGAGGCCAGAGTGAGGGTGCAACGCTCCATTGCCCCCCACAGCCTCCAGGACTTCTCCATGGCTAAACACGTGCAGAGTCACACAACACAAACTCTACAAACAAAAGAACCAGAAGAAAATACATAGTAGTAAAGGATAGCCATCTACTTTACATACAAAATATTTAAAAATACCAAAATAAATGCTTATGTAATCAGAAATATCACATATTAATCCTCATGTCATGACAGAATGCATGAGATAGGATTAAAGTTATTTTTGGAATGCAGTCTTGTTTAATCACTGAAAGGTTTGACCCCTGACAGCCATGAACCGAACACCCTCCTGACCAAAAACAGTTTTGTGCGACTTATTTTGTCACTCAGTCCATTCAGGTAGTGGGAACAGCGCTGTCAATTTCCATGCGGTGTTCACTTTAATACACCACAAAATACCGTGCGACTCACTGGCACAGGTGCAGGAAGTCCCGACTGCTGTGTGCCAGTCTGTCACACGCGGATAGAAGACAGTTAATGGTGCTCATTGCTGGTTCTGAAGAGTCCCACCATTGCATTATTACCCATCTTTCTTTGCTGCATCAAGTGTATAATGTATAATGTAGGTCTGGGTAAATATATGCAGTAACGGTACTTCCAGCACCGGGGCGGAGCACCAGCGAATGGAACACTTTAAATTAACGTGACGTTAGTATTAGTGGGAACATACCGAGGATACATGTATAACTATTACAGCATTTAAGTTCGTATTGACCCCACCCACAGAGAAGATGCGGTGACAGCTGCTGCCAGCAAAAAGTACATACGACAAACGTTAGGAGAGCTATGACAGTTGGCATTAGCTAGTTCACATTAACGTCGGTAATCAATCTCTCAGAAATACTACTACAAAAACAGGTTTTAAAATCTGCTACGCCATACACCAAGCTTTGAAGTTACTGACCATAACACCGAAGTAAACGGCAATAAACTGAACGCTAGCTCGCAGGGAGTTGACGCTAGCTCAGAAAAAACACGCTAAATATTAAGCTATCATTTGCTATCAGCACTGCTATAACTAGCCACCTATGTTAGCTGTTATTAGTGGTTAGCCAGGCAGCCGCAAACTTACCTTTCTCTCATTTTAACGCCTCGGCTGCATGAATTGTTTACACAACGTTAACACAGAGGCAGCATAATCACTGTCATTTAGTTATGTAGCAGTTAAATAAATTACAACGAGCGTTAACTGGTGAAAGCGCAAAGCAAGTAATTGTCAAATAGAACCGGCAAAGGTAGCTACACAACTGGTTAGCATTACTGGTGTAGCATTAAAGGGTACCGTGTTGAACACAGCACAAGAAAAGGTTCCGCGGAAAACCGATGAGCCTCACCACAGACCGTGTTGCTTTGCGTTAAAACGTTATCCATCGAGAGCAACGACAACTACTAGTATCTTATTTTAATAATCCTTACAACGTGTCGTGTATTGCACTTCACGCTGGATGTTAAAAACTGTGGTCTGAATCTAAAGGTGTTCAATTATCATTGTATGTGCTATTCGATTTTTGTCCAAAAGGTGTTGCTCTTAGAAAGAATAAGAGCCAGAAAATTCACCATTAACAAATTAAAGGTAAACTCTCCTATTTAAAGCACCTGGTTTTTTTGAGTCTCCTTCATGCTATGTTATAGTGCACAAATAGGCAGGCAACTGCAGCTATGATGCATAATAACAGCAAAGCAGGAAGTTGTTTGCATGTGCTTGTGATGATACAAGAATCAGTAGTCATAACTACTGTCTCTGACTCTTCTTGGTCAGAGTATGGTAGAGGAAATGCAAGGTACAATGCTCTGTATGAAGGACATCGTGTCTGCATGATTTGCTATGTCTGCATACTTATTCTGTATGAAGGACATTGTGTGCATGATTTGCTATGTCTGCATACTTAAACAGTAAAATTGCTGTATAAATAGGGAGTGCTCTGTGCAATCTTGGCTCTTTGTTGTGGAGACCTTTTGCTTTCTGAATGCACTGAGCCCTTCCATGAAAGTTTTATTAAATATCACTAAAAGGCAGCTCTTGTGTTCTTGACTTAATTCTTTAATTATTATCATAACAAAACATTCAAAGAGCTGTTACAAACTCAGTGAAAATAAACATAAATGTCCCTTTTTCTTTCATTTAATATAACACTACCCTGCACTGGATGATAATGCTGCTCACATTCATGTCCTATAGCCTCTGCCTTCTCTTGGCCTTATTATCAGTTTGCTGCCTCTCTTACGACCAAAGGCATAAGCTACAATATATCCACTGAATACTTTATAATAACTACCCATATACTGTGGGTAGGTGGACAAATTATTATCTCAACAAAAAGATGTAGATAATATTGTTTTGGCCTGTGGACAATCTACCATGCAAATGGCAGGGTTTGATGTTGAGGCTTATCCATTCGGAGCGCTTGCTTTTTCAGAAATACAGAATATAACCTATATGAGCCCAGGGGTGTTGTTACACATTTGCTTGTATCAGAACAAGGAGCAAAATGCTAAATGTCTTGGCATATGTGCAGTTGTTCAATTTCCTTAATTTTTGTTGCAAATGCTGCACAGAAACCAGTTTATCTAAGAATCGACTTTGAAAACTTTCTAAAGGGAAAATAGTTGCTTTGAACTAAATTATTATGACTGACGAATGAGGATGAGAGACTGTATTTTTCCACTTACATAGACTGACTTTAAAATTATGTCCATGTTCAAACTCTGTTCATTATTCAAGATCTATTGTAAAAAAAAATACAGATAAAGCTACAACACATTTGTAGGAGGTGCATTACCACTGGAGCAGAATACAAACACACACACACCTGTCTCTTTAGGTTATGGGTAGTAATGCATTCTGATGCATTTACAAGACTGACTACTGACTGGTTTACTCTGATTAAATTACCTTTGAAATGTCAGTTAAAACATCTATTACACACAAACAAAACACAATAGTCTCTCGCTCACACACACTGGCTCCACTCTCATATCCCATGACTCAATAACTTGATATATAGCACTCTAAACAGCTGGAGGGCCCAAGCTCAATAATACAAAGTCATAGCTGCTATAGGACAAAGTGTGCCTGTGAGGTCCTGGATGTGGATATCATATCATCAGGCCAAGGGCCATGCTTATCATTCACCTCACACCATGGACCTAATGACCTCATAGGGACACCAGAGTAGCAGAGTATAACACGGCTCCCAGTGATAAAATGAGAAATTGCACTTGGCTTTTATGCGGAAGCTGAGCTATTGATTTTTCTGTCAGTCAGCATCTTACATAACTGGTGCTCTAACTGCATGTATCATGTATGTATCATGTGCAATAATATCTCTTCATGAGTAAGAGTTGCTATTATTACATTTTTGCTGGGCTTGTGAAATGCTTAGTTAATTTCGCCTGACATCATTATGACTGATTCCTTTTTGATTTGCAAGTCACTGAATGCCATGCACAAGGTGATAGATGTGGTGTCCATGGCTACAATGTAAATGTGTTGTCACCTTGGAGACAGAGCATTGCTTTGAGCCGGAGAGGACAGCTACATAATAGCAACTCTTCATTTTAAACGCATCAGCCAGAAGATACCTGTCAGCAGAGTATGACATTAAACTGCCTTTTTTAAAATGCTAATTCACGATTAGAAGAGTAGGATCTTCTGTAGCCCCTCTGGGCTCTTTAAGTGTCAGTCAACAAAGTGTAATGGGGCTGTACATTGTACAGTGATGGCCTAATCAGCTACCTACATGGCATTGTGGCCATACAGTAAGGCGCCCCATATGCTATTCCTGCAAGTAATTAATTGGGTTGAAATTTCTGTATGTCTCAGGCAGCAATTAGGCGATCTCCTGTGGTGAAAAGACGGACATTTAATGCAAGCTACATTTTCCTGACTTCCAGAGCAGATAAACCCTTTGTAACTTCTACAGTATGATGACATCAGTCACTCTAATTACCTGCAGATATATGTGTGTGTGTGTGTGTGTGTACATGTCTGTGGATGTATGCTCCAAAGCCATTCAGTGAAGCAAAAAGACAGTAACAGCAATTTTGTGTAATGATGAACTAACATTGCAGCTTCTGAAGTTTACATTCCTCTCTATATTTTTTATACTTACTATGATAAGTAGGATTTAAAGAAGCGTGATCACCTCTCTCTAAAGTGTTTCTATCATATATGTAGTTTGTGAATGATGATATCTAAACCATCATTAATCTCCTGGTCTTTGTCTATCCTCTTCTGATGGCAGAGATAGATAATTAGAACATTTGGACATTGTGCCAAAAATAATGATGAAACCATGTCTTTCATTTCAGGGAAGGCTTTCTTTAGCTGTCCAGACACTTGAACAGTCACTACAATGGTAGCACCATCACTTGCCAGAGCTTATCAAGCGGTCCTCAAGTGGTTTATTAATGGAATTCATTCAGGCATGTTTTTTCCCCTCTACATTTATTTGCAATGAGTAAAAATGTTCTGCTCTTGTCTTTGACAATCATTAATTTTTGATCTTGACATCATGTTCAACATTATGGAAACTATACATATTCACTTTCTTGCTAAGAATTAAATGAGAAGATTGATACCACTCTCGTGCCTGTGCATTAAGTATGAAGCTAAAGCCAGAAGGCAATTGGTTAAAGACTGGAAGCAGGTAGACTATTTGTCTGGCTCTTTTAATTTGCCTACCTACACTTCTAAAATGCACTAATTAATATGTAGCATCACAGTTTGTTAATCTATACGCAAGCAGACATTGTATTTTATGCAGAATTACATGCTCTAACTTGTTTTGGTTGAGAACAACAGCCGGTTGTAGTGAATTCCTGAAGTCTCTGTTGTTTGCCTGGTAACCTAACAGTGACAACAGCACATCACTGCACCTGGCCACCATACAAAACCTGCTGTTACCAGCTGCAGACATGAATGTGGTATTGGTCCTGTCATGTAACTGTTGGTAAGAAAGCAAATAAGCTGTCATGAAATGGCAAACTATTCCTCTGAGGCAACAGCCACTCCTGCTGCCACAACTATTATCATCCTCATCATAAACATCATTATTGATCCCAGTTACAGAAATATTTTAACAGCTACCTTCTGCCCAGAGCTCATCACATGGGGAAAAACAAAAACACCTCTAATCTCTGTGAAGGACACTTTCTTTTTGAAGGAGGTGCAACCATGAAAGCCCTATTGAAAAAGTGCAATATAAAGGGCATACTGTAATTACAATGTGTTCAATTTGGCCTGTGGAGACTTAAATCTCTTCAGAAGAATAGAACCTGCTGTCCTTGAAAAATGAAGCCACATTGTCTGAGTGAAGTCAAGAGGTTTCTAAAGGTTGGGTAAACTGTATGAATTTGAGTGTGTACAGGGTCATGTTGGTAGCTGCCATCCAAAAAGAGCAATTTGACTCAATTTAGAGAAAGCTCTGTCTCTTTGTGAAGGTCAGTCAAACCAGCAGTAAGTGATTGTTCGGGTTGTTGTGGGAGATCGCTCCCGACTGAACTGATACCAAAGGACATGCAGACTCTGGTCGCCAGTGGAAACATAAAGGGTTGTGATCCAGATTAAAGGTTACTATTTCATCATGTGGGGACAGAAAGGTCATCTTTCATTTCTCATTTAATATTATCCTTTGTGTTTGTGTTAGATTGTATTAGATAATGGCATTTAAAACCTACTGTACAGTATACACACCAGAAGAAAAGCTTGCAAGCTCTACATGAATGTCGCTGTACATTCACTGCAATCAAATGAGGGTTCTTGCAGGGAAAATACCCAGCTCATACTGTCATTTACTAATGTATGGTATCATTGCCTTCAAAGTTATGCTTCATGTGATGCAAGTGGGAGAGGAGGGTACTTATTCATCAGTGTGTGTCAGCAGGTCATGCTCTCAACAGATCTTGCAGCAGTGTGTTACAAATAAAGACTAATGGTCCAGTTAAGGACAGATAAGTCTCCTAACACCAAACAGCTTCTGAGGCACTACAGACTTAACAATTATCCATTATCCTTTAAAGACAATGAACACACTGGAGTCAGTGACAAATGCAACAACTCATGTCCATCAAATATACAGCATATAAAAAATCAGAGTAAAAACCAGGGAGTGACTATACCACATCATACAAAGTTTGAACTGTGACATATTTTTATTTTACAGAATCAGTTCCTTTGGTAGAAATGGCTACAAAAAGAGGGGAAAAGTACGTTTGTGAAAAGACAGTAAGTAAAAAATGGGTAACATGAATGACTGAGAGAAGGGGCCAACATAAATATCCATGTAAAAAAAATC